GAAATTAAAGCCGACGCCTCCAACCACTCTACCTCTACTCAAATCCAGCGCCCTTGAGCACACATCCTATTTCCCTCATAAGCTTCAACTCCAAATCCTCTACCTTTTGCCGAAATCCAACCCTCATCAATAACCTCAAGTCAAAATACTGAAAGCACAGATCAATAACCTCAAGTACGAAATATCCATTGTCAATAGTACCAGTTTCTGAAAACTATTTCAAGTCATGTTTTATATTCTTAGCATTCATCAAATCAGCTAACACAGTTCAAAGAGATATCCACGATTTCAAGTAATAATTCAACTTAGGCCTGATACAAGATTAGCAATGTATTTTAAGTTTCATAAATTCTAACTATAAGTGTCTAGTAAGTCAAATATTATGGATATTGAAAATTCAATCATATTCCAAGCATAACAATTAGCGATCATCACTACTAAAATCCATTTTAAGTTGCTTGTTTGATGGGGTTTGGGAAATAAATGGATATTAAAAAACCAACTCAAATCGAGCCTGACATTCATACATTAATATATGGTTATCTGTACCCATCCATTTAAACACAGATTCAGATTTGGAGAGTGGCAAAGTATTTCAAATATTTGAACACATATTTGAATATAGGGGTTTTTGCATATATCTTTCAAATCTTCCATATTTGCAAATTTACTCCCAAAATCATGGTATTTGCAAAATTACTTTCTAATGCTCCAACGTTGAGTTTTTCTACCCCTTTCACATGACGGTTTTTAGCTTTTAAACAAAAAATATAGCAAACCTATAGGAAATTATTCGAAAATTTTGACATTACCCTATTTAGAAACCAATATTGTTAATTTGAAGGGGTAGAAAAACCAATGCCACAGAATTGAGGGGTAATTTTGTAAATACTAAGATTTCGAGGACAAAATTGCAATATTGAAGATTTGAGAGGTATATATGCAACCTTGAATATAAGAACATGTGTAACTAGGGGTGTTAACGTAGTGGATACGGCTCGGATATAGCACTTAACACATCCATATCCACTTTCTATAAACGGATACGGATACGAATACTGATTCTCTTCCGTAAGAAAAATCTTAACCATATCCGCACTCATCGAAAACGGATACGGTTCGGATATTAGAGAATCAGATCGGATACGGTCACGGATATGAAACCGATATTTGAAAAATGGATATGAATCGGATATGAATTGATTATTACAAAAAATTTAAAACAACATTTGCTAACTGATAAGCTACAAAATTCTCATCACGCTCTACGAAATTATTTTCTATGGTCCTAACAAGAGTAAGACAAGAACAAAATCAACACAAGAGTAAACTAGCCCAATTCACATATTTATGGGGGCAAAATCAGCAGCATATGCATCTTCAGCAACATAGGCAGCACTCTTTAGGTCCCTCAGAGTCAGATTTATTACAAGCAGAGCTGTGAGAATACAAATGAGATAGTTTTTGGGGCTGTTCATGAGTTGGATAGTAAGAGGAAATCAGTGGAGATTAAGGCAGTGAACTATGTGGAGCCTATCTATCTATCTATCTATTTATATATGTATGTATGTATATATATATACACATATATGTATGTGTATATGTATATATATATAAAGAGAGAGAAAGAGAGAAATATGGGTATGCTTGATAGTGAGGTGGCACAATCTCCTCCACTCATTCAAATGGATGACCACATTCACATGGGTTGAGGAGTGCATGGGGATATGCAACCATTTGAATGAGTGGAGGGGATTATGTGGATGCAAAATAATCAGTGACACCAAACACAAACATATAATGATGCCAAACACAAACAAATCAGCCCTAATCCAGAATTACTTCAAACAAACACCAAACACAAACAAATAAAGCCACGTAATTAGTTCTCTGGTGTTTCAAGCTAACACATAAAGGTAAAAATTGAAAGAAAAAAAAACTTAATCAAAAACCTTATAGTCACAAATTAACAAAGCAAGTGTATGTAAAACTAGGATTTTAATTCAACCTTATGGAACAGCAAGGATGATGATGGAACAGGGAGGATAGGCAGCAGCGGATTGTGTGTGCTGGTCATGCTCGTGGAGGAGCGCGTCGGAGAGGGGGCGGAGGAGGGAAAAACGGGGGATAAGCGAACGACGGCGTGATGAGCAAATGGCGGAGTCAGCTCCAAGAGGAACAGAGAGGAGGCGGGGGAGAAGGGAGAGGGGATGGTGGGAGCGAGAGAGAAGGGAAATTGCAGAGAGCGAAGGTTTGAGAATTTGGGATTTGAGGTATCGGATATGAGAATTTGGGTTTTGGGTTGGTTAGTGGTTACGGGTTTGGATATATAAATGTATCTGAATCCTTATGTTAATTGAATTGCGGATATTCGTATCTGCAACCGAATCTTGCACTCATATCCTGATCCGAATCCATATCCGAAAAAATTCGAAACTAGATCCGTACCCGAACCGTATCTGCCCGATTTAAAAAAAGCTTACCATATACGCATCTGTTCGGATACAGATGCGGATCAGTTCGGATAAAACCGAACTGTTTGGCACCCCTATGTGTAACTCTAATTAGATTGAAGTCCATCAATGTTACATAAGGTAACACAATACACTTCATTGATATATACATTTAAAAAGTGTCCAATCCATGAGACTGCACCTAGAATAGTATAAAGAAGATTTAGGATCGATCCCGAAGTTGATACTCATTACATAATTCAACATTACTAAGGTATTAGAGGTATTAGGTCGGAAACCACTTAACCTCCTCTGGCCTAGTTCTTGGATAGTCTGCAGGGCTTGATTCTTTGATTTCATACGGTATCTCTTATCGGCTCATGAAAGTTCCCTTTTTGCATTAAATCTCTCACTCTGCCAGAAACATTATCTTATACATCCTCTTAATTCCGCATTCTCATGCATTTTCACAATATTTCATCTGCCTGACAAAGTTGAACCCATCCAATTTCATCAGCAAGCAAAGCAGCCTTAAGCCTCTCCCATAATGTTTATGATTGTTACATTTTAATACTTGATAATCATATTTTATTACAATTTTATACCCTCATTATCTATTTTTAATGAATAATTATACCACTAATAATTATTTTTATCTTTAATTGCAGGTTAATGAAGAATAAAGCCCAAAAATCTCATCTCTCAACAAAAGCTCATAAATTAAATGAAGAACACAAGCACGAGCCAAAAATCCCAAGCCCAGAATCAAGCCGAGTAGCTTGTAGAAGCCAGAGAAAATAAAAAAATCAAATATAAAAACAAAATATATTCAAGATGGTTGGTCGCAAAGAAACGACGATATCTCTCAATCCGGAAGGCGGAATTTAACATATAATATATAAAAATCGCCTATCTCGATGAGACGAAGTCATCTGTGGAGGCAGGTTTTTGATTGGACATCGATACCGGCATCGATGCTGGCATCGACACCGACATCGATGCTGGCATCGATACTGGTATCGATGGCTACGAATCAGTTACAGATCAATGGCTGATTTTTGATGGTTTTGAATAAGAATTCAATCCAATGGCTCTCATTCATTGATGTTTGCTATAAATAGGGGTAGAGAGTGAGGGGTTAGAGGTGTGAAAAATTTTGTATCTTTATTTGGAGAGGGTTACTCTTAATTGAGAAGACCTTCCAAACTTATAACTTTTTATTACAATTAATAAAAGATTTTTTCACCACTTTAAATTTTTCTTTTCTTCTCTTTGTTGGATGATGAAGATGAAGATGGAGATCAATTTGAAGGTTTGTTTTTCTTATTTCTCTTTTATTTCTTTTCTTATTGCTTAGTAGTTTAGATTTATTTTTTAATGCTTGTAGTGTAGATTTATTTCATGTCGTTATTTTCTCGCATTTAATTCTTACAATTTATTTTGTAGCTTAGTTTTTACAATTTATTTTATAGTTTAGATTTTATTTTCTTGCACTATTCGCCTTGAGGCTAGAACCCTCCTCGGATTAGTTTTTGTTTTTGTTTATTTTTTATTTTTTTTAATTCGCCTTAAGGCTAGAACCCTCTAGGAAATTACCATTTTATTTTCTTATACTATTCACATTTAGGTTAGAATCCTCTTGGGTTTAGTTTTTTTTTTGTTCATTTTTATTTTCTTTGATTCGGCTTTAGGCTAGAACCCTCTAGGGAATCATCCTTTTCTAAGAAGTGGATTCAATTCTAGATTACTCATATCTTTAATTGAATCCGTCATCTTTAATTTCTTGAATTTTCTTTTTATTCTTAATTCTTCTTTTTTATTCTTGATTTTATTCATCTTTCCTTGTGCAAATCATTCATTCTTTGTCACATCCACTCTCACTTACATTTCGTGCCAATTTACACACTATCACTTCCACTCTCTCTATCTCTCCACAACCACATTTACTCATCACTCCTAATTGTCACGCACAAAACATAAGAACTGAATCTAATTTTCTCTACAAACACCTTCCTCGTGGGATCGATAACTTTTTATACTATAAATTGATTAATTGTGCACTTGAAATTTTTGGTATATGTTTATGCTGCATCAATACCTTAATGAACAGCTAAAACCAGATTATAAAGTATGAAGCATATTCTATTTCGAGTTGCGAGAACGGAACAGGGTGGGTATATATTCTATTTCTGGAGAGTCAGTTGACAAATTTGGACCTTTCATATTGGAATAATTGATCTGATGTGGAACATTCATCTGATAACAATTATAGAATACTGCCATACCAAAAAGATTAGTGTATTAGTCAAAGGTATCATATTTTAGCAATTCGATTAAATTACTTAAGTGGCCAACAAGCAATAGATGAACTCTCACATAATAATACAAACACAAATATTTAACAAGGAAATAAAAGCAGCAAAATTAACCACAAACTGAATAGAACCCATAGATCTAATAGTGACGCAGATCAAACAGATGATCAAATCATAATCAATATCAAATCTTTCGATCAAAATCCGCAAGATTAAGTGATTCAAATCTTACCCCAGTCGTCCTCCTGCTCTTCTATTGAGGGATTGGATTGAGTGGTAGAGGGATCCATTGCTTGCAAACGAACATGGAACTCAATAGCCACAGGGCACAAAAGCCCAGAACTCTGTTCTCTAATCCACGGAATACGAAAACTGCAAGATATTAAAATTAAGAGAGATGGGAATAGAAAACTAAATCTCAAAAATCCCAGGAAACGAATCTTATAAGGAGGTGATGGAAGAAAACGGGAGATTTGCAATATGCTGGTAGATTTATGACTAATTTACCCCTGGCTTTAATGACGAATTTAATAAAGGTGTAGTGTGTAAGACGAAGGTGTTTTAGGGGGTGTTTGTTTTGTTTTTTTTTTTTTGGATATAGGGTAGATTTTAAGTTTTGGGATGTAAAAAGTGGTTTTTTGAGGTTTTAGAAATCCATAAATCAAGTTTGTTTCAAAAAAAAATTTGGGATATCACATCTCCAAACTATAAAATACTAATATTTTTTAGCATTTGTAAAATCCCACTTTTCATAGTGGATGTGGGCTGGATCTCTGACATATCACCTCCAGCTCAGCGTAACTCTGCTCTTACCTGAAGACCGATCCCATAGCGAACCATAAAGTCACCGCTTTCGCCTGGGTCCTCTTTTACCCACCGTCTCAAATTCCGCGTGAAACCCTAGCTCTCGTTCCCGCCGAACCCCGACTACGACGCCACCTCCTCCCTCCTCTCCACCCCAACTTCAGCGGGCTCCGCCTCCTCATCAGCGTCCCCAACTCCCAGGCAAGCTGCCTTGCCTCTTCTCCACTTTTCGTGAGGTTTTGGGAGTAACTTGATTTGGGGATTCTATTATTTCAACCGAACTTCTCTCTGCCCGAACAGTTCTCCGACCAACTAAGTCTCCTCCTCGGCAGGTAAAACTCGTTCCTTTTCTCCATAAATTAGGGTTTCTTTGTAAAATTGATGGATTTGGTTTTGTTGTTGGGGTGTTCTAGCTGAAATTAATATGTGGTAAGGCATATGCAATTGATTTAGTTTGATCAAGTTTATTTGGCACAATTATTAGACTGAAATTTTCAGATCTAATTTTCAGATCTAATTTACTCTATCTATGTATTTGTACTGCTATAAAAAGAAATTTGGAGAAACTAGTAGAGAGATTCACATACATGAAAAAGGTTTCATACTTAGTTCCAGGAAGTGAAGGAAATTGAAAGAAGACAATTTACAACAAGGATGATAGTAGTATACAGCAATTATGTGCTCTAGATGTATCAGTTATGACAATGCTTAAGTCACAATCCAAACAACAATATATATCTAATTAGCTAACATGTCATGCTTTGGAGCCCTTCTTAATCAGAGAGCATTATCAATATATCAAATGGGCAGATAGTATTGATCACTTAGAATTGTTTAACAAGCTTGTCATGAGAACCATATCATCTGTATGCATAGAGAAGTACAACAAAGTAAAACAATGAGGATGCACAATTTTTCAGTTTTCATTTTCCACCAAAAGTTCAAGCTCCCAACAAATATTATCAACAATGAATGATCAATACTATATAGATTATTTTTGTGCTTTTTTCAATTTTGTGACTTTGTGAGTTTTTTTAAAACAATGTAGATGGACGACATTGATGAAGAGATGTTAACGAGGATGGCTTCTAATGCTACTATATCCGCGGTGATTTGTGTGTTTACATGTTTGATGAGGATACGTAGTAGACGGAAATCAATCACTTATCAACGTAAGGTGAAAAATAAAGAGAAGATAGATATGAGAGCTAGGCACATAAGTCGTGTGTTTAGTGGCTATAATGAGAGTTGTAGCGCTTATGTTAGAATGAGGCCGCGTGCATTTTAGAATCTTGTCAGCATAATGAGATATACCGGCCTACTAAAACATGGACGGGTTGTTAAAGTAGAAGAACAATTGCTCATGTTCCTTAATATATTAGGCCATAAAACAAAAAATAGAATTGTTAGGTCACATTTCATAAGATCGGGGGAAACCGTTTCAAAATACTTTAACAAGTGCTTGGAAGCCGTTGGTCGTTTAAGGGGGCGGTACATGAAGCAAGCGCCAAATAAAGTATCACTAGAGATTGCCACTAACCCATTATATTATCCTTATTTCAAGGTAATCATTATTATAATATAACTACTCATAATCTAACAATTAATTTTACCTTTCTATTATTAATAACTGTTTAATGTATCATATAGGATTGTATTGGCATGATAGATGGAACCCATATCGACGCCATGCTTCCCGCTATCCTTGTTGCACGTTTTAGAGATCGTAAAAATGTAACTCAAAATGTTCTAGCTGCATGCACTCCCAACAAGTTATTTTCGTATGTTCTAGCTGGATGGGAGGAATCCGCAAATGATTATAGAGTTTTACAAGACGCGTTATCTAGACCACAACCTTACGGATTGAGAGTTTACGACAGTAATAAATCAGTCAAATAAAGTATGTCTACTTAATTATAATTAAAAAATATACTAAATTTCTTTTTGATAAATATAGGAAAATATTATTTGTGTGATGCGGGCTACACTACTATGCATGGCTTTATCTCCCCATATCGAGGAGTGCGGTATCATCTAAATGAGCACAAGGGTAGGCCAATCAATAATAGACAAGAGTTGTTCAATTTAAGACACTCATCTCTAAGGTCTAAAATTGAATCAACATTTGGGGTATTAAAAAGCATTTCAAAATCCTATCCGCGAAGCCACATTACCCTTTTCCAACTCAAGTTGATATAGTTATTGCATGTACTATACTTCATAACTATATCGCCATAGAAGACCCGGGCGATGAGTTGTTGCATGAGGACAACCATATTGAAGAGGATGGAGATGAAATAGCAAATGAAGGTGAAGAGGGTGTTGTTGACTTTACTCAAACTATGACACAAAGAGAGGAAAGAGATTCAAGAAATGAATGGAGAGCAAAGAGGGATCAAATTGCAATTGAAATGTGGGAAGATTATTGTGATAAATGGCGTGGTGGAGACACAACCGAGATCGGGATGTAATCTAAGTTATATTCTCCATGTGTTATTGTACTCGTTGATATATTGTCTACTACCTCTATGTATTCGTTCATGTTACAACAATACTCATGGATAAATGAGTATATTATCATTTTCGCATGCTACTTTTGTATATATCCAACTTGCGGTTCTGTTTAATTTTGTGTTTGTTTGCAACCTTGATTATATGAGCTGTGAGGCTTGTTTGCATACTGGTTTTTCAAGCTTGTGGTTTATTTGAGTTTTCTGGATTTAGCTATGAAGATCGGGCTTTATGAATGCTACTTTTTGATGTTCGTACTCTATTATTGTACTAACATGAGGTTTGAAATTTGTTATTTGTCTGTTTTAATTTGTAGCAAACAGTCATGGCAGATTCTAATGAAAGTGATAAGTTCAGGAATACTTCACCTAGAACACCAACAACACCCACTTATCCATACTTCCCGGCTCCCCCACCACCCACTACACAACCATTCCCTCCGCCCCAATACATTGCTCCACCGACTTATCCATCTTACAATCCTTATGATATGAACTACTCATTTATGACTCAGCAACCCATGTCGTTTATGAATATGCTTAACAGTGGCCACCCACTTATCCACACTTCCCCTAGTACCCATTCAAGTGAGACACATTCTTCGAAGAGGCCAATCGCAATTGACTTTGAGGATGATGCTGCCTCACCAAGCAAAAGCAAGAAGCGGGCAGTTACTAAAAAAAATGCCACCAAAAGTCCTGAATAAAAAAGAGAATACAAGGGGGGTGCCTAATGCTAAATGAACTGCAGAGAATGATGATGTGTTAATCCCCTTCCTTGCTCAGATGGCAAAGGATGGTCTCAAAGTTGATAAAAACTTTAAGGTGCTTGCATATCGAAGAGCTGCAGAGGAGGTCAACAAGAAGTGTGGCACTGAGTTCACAAAGGAGAATGTCATGAACAATGTCAAGTCCTTGAAGGGTAAATATTTTGATATGCGCACTGTCATGGACATGAGTGGGGCTGGTTATGATCCACAAACTAAGATTGTCACCATGGATCCAGATTGTTTTGATAGGTGGACATAGGTAATATTTTTGATAAATAAGCAAACTTTGAATATTTACTTCTTAGTAACTGATTTTGCAATATTTCATTGTACAGGAAAAAAAATGCAATAGCTCTAGATTGAAGGAGTATTTGAACACTCCTCTCATTCACTATGAGAACTTGTGTTATATTGCGGGAGATGACCAAGCAAAGGGTGATTTCACCAAAGATATGACTGAAAAGCTTGGCTCTAGACAACATGATACGGATAGCGATGAGGATCATGTAATATTTAGTGATAATGAGGTTGATTTGTCCCCAAGCCCACGTCTTGAGCCCGAGAAATCAAGTGCGCAAAACCACAACTCTCAAGGTAAGAAATTGAAGACCTCTAGTGGGGTAGCTTCTGCATCAATTGATACATCAACTCCTAGGAAGAAGAGTAGCAAGGCTAAAGAGGATGAGACTCTCATGTGTGGTTTAATTGACACGATGTCGTTCTCAATTCAAAATCAACATGTACATCAACGTGTTGTGTATTAGAGTGAGACCATGGCGAATCATAAGAGTGAATTTTCTGAGGGGGTATTGGATAAAGTGCTTGATTACTTGTATGACCATGAATCAGAAGCTAGGAGGTTGATCATCAAAACCAAAAATTCTCAAAAGCTATTTATAGAGAAGATTATCAACGAGCAAGGGTTTGACTTATGAAAACTTGATATTGCACTACTTTTGAAGACTTGACATATCTATTGCTTTTGTAAACTCATTGTATATTTAACAACTTAATGATGTAACTACTTTTGTAAGTTGAACACTTAGTGGTGTAGCTTTATGTTATTAATTTTGTAAGTTTAACAACTTAATGATGTAACTAATTTCACTACTCTAATTGCAATCTCATTATAACTTTGGTTCTTTTGCAGGTTTATATAAATATCATTGGATATGATACTTGATAGCAACCTACATTGCACGATATGTATTGGTATGGCTACTTTGTATTCTTCTAAGTGGGCAATGATGATGGTCTTAGTTAAGAGAATGCAATCTACAATGTTTTGCTATGTTTAGATAGAGCAATCTAGGATGAGAATGTAACATACATTGCATTTACAATGTTAGGTAAGGCAATCCATTCATGTGA